CATTTTTACAGGACGACCACGCCTAGGGAGAGTAGCAACAGTGCTAAACTTTCTCCATTTGTAGACAGTCTGTCTTACCATGGACACATGAACATCAAGGCTTTTGGAGATACTTTTGTAACCCTTTCCAGCTTCATGCAAGCCAACAATTCTTGATCGTAGGTCTTCTGAGAGCTCTTTTCTGCGAGGCATGGTTCACATCAGACAGTGTTTCTTGAAACCAGTAAACCCAAAACAGATGTGTGTTTTTTAAGGGCAGGACAGCTGTCAGCAACACATCCAATATCATCACACTGATTGTAGTCAAGGTTGGCTCACTTCTGGCTCCAATTAGCTCTGGGAGAAGTCATTAAGCTAGAGCCTAACATACTTTTTCCTCCCTGCACTGTGAATGTTTACATGTTATGTGCAATTAAACCATGGCAACATCTAATGTTTGTGTAGTATTATGTTCAGCAGACTGTGTTTTTAGTTTTCAGTTTTCTGCTGGTGTTTTCTGTGACAGCTGGGAATTGCTGGAGGTCTTTTCAAGTCATCTACAGCTACTGTTATGCTCAGGTTGGATATGAAAAATCTGGACAGCCCTCCCATTAGCCAAGCAGTGCAGGCTCCCAGTTTATTATCTATACTGGTATTCTCTCTGCAACAGTCCTGCAGTCATCAGGGACTACCTGTCTGTGTTGCAGTTCACATTGGACTCCGCTATTCAGATTAGGCCAGTATGTATGAAAATTCTTTGTGGAGTTATTGTTCAAGAGTGAAGGCAGTTTTCCTATTCCCTTTACTGCACCTCTCTGTTGTATGTACCTAAAATGCTTAAACTGGGTTATAATTTTCTCTGTTTGGTACTGAGGGTATTTACATCTGAATTCGTATATGAATTACCTCCTTTTGTTTTTTGGGCTTGCTTATACTTTATGTACTTTATGTACTCTGCAAGTTGGCCACATAGGGTAGCCCCCCTTTTTATTTCTGCTCAGATTATGCTAGGGGAATTGGTACTGTTTAAATTCTCCTTCCCCTTACCAGCCATGTAAGCCATGGTCAGGTGATGTCAGTGGTTGGTAAGGACGCAGCCTATACAAGCACATGTTGCTTCCCTAACAATCATTGAAAGTCAATAAACTGTCACATTCATGCATGCTGAGCGCCCTAAATGTTGAACATTTGAATAGCCAGTGTTTGGTCTGAACTATGTTAGGAAGGCTATTTCCCACAAGGTCTATCACCAGATCTCAAAGGCATACTTCACTTGGTGTGAGTCTCAGGGCTTCAACCCTAGGAGTTTCTCCATGGGACAAATCTTCTCCTTCCTGCAAAAGTGTCTGGATCAGTATTATCAAGACCAGATTTTGCCCTTTCTATTTTCTTTCAGAGACGTTGGCCTCTCTCTCTTTGATTTAGACCTTTGAACAGGGGGTCTCTCATGTAGTTCCCCTGTGTGTTTTCCCTGTGACTCCGTGGGAACTGAATCTAATCCCCTCTGCACTTCTGAAACCAATAATGTGTCATTCTTCAAAGTGATTACCTCGGCAAAGTGAGTACCTGAACTGGAAACGTTATTCTGAAAATAACCTTCTGATTTTGCATGAGGAAGGGGGGTGTTAGACCCAGATTGTCCTTTTTGTCTAATGTAGTTTCTGCCTTTCACCTTAACCAGGTTATCATACTTCCTCCCCATGTTTGGTTTCATTTCACCCACAGGAAATTTCCCTCCATAATCTAAATGTCGTTCTGGATGTGAGAATCTGCCTCTCAGCTACTGCTTCTTTCAGCCTGATTCTCTTTTTGTAATATTGGATGGACCCCAGAAGAGTACTCTGGCTTATCGTTCCACTATTTCTAGGTGGCTCAGGAAGGCCATCATCTGAGCTTGAGGTTTCAAAGATCAGTGTACAGGACACTGGGCATGACTTGATATGATATGTGTCCCTGTTATTTGATTAGTGGTCCCTTTTAAGGAGAGCAAAATGAATACAGTTTTGGATAACTCAGGGACTGAAAGGGGGAAAACTGACTTACAGTCCTTATTCACAACCTGGAACTCAAAGGCTCTGAGAGACTTTGGGTGGGAAAGAGCTTCCAACCCTGACTATAGGGACTGTGGCCCCCATAGGGTAACCTGCTTGCAAAAAAGGCATAAAAAGGATCAGGAATGTCATGTACCTGGATAGTGAGCCTGATGTGAAGAGGCAGGCTGTTAGGAATGGACTGGCCAGCAATGGTGGGACTCACCTGCCTTTTGATCTGCAGTACCAGGGCTGGCCAGCGGGTGCCAGCAATCAGAGACTCAACCTTTCAGCCAGCTAACACCTGGAACTGATGATACTGGTGTATTTAAGGGATGGCCAGACTTGCAGACTCTGCCTTGGTGTTGTGTTTGTCCTGGGCCCTGTATCTGTCCTGCATCCTGTTTCTGTTCCTTTGCTGACTTCTCCTGCTCTGATCCTGGCTTGTGACCCTGACCATCCCTCTGTCTGACCCTCTGTACTACGCTGCTTGCTACCTGTTCTGATCCCTGGCTTGTGACCCGGACCATCCCTCTGCCTGACCCTCTGTACTATGCTGCTTGCTACCTGCTGAACCTGGCCTGTGACCCCGACCATTCTCCGCTTGCTCCCCCTGTACCTACCTGCCCAATTGATATTGACCCGGCCTGCCTGACGACGCTTGCTTGTATATACTGTTATCTGTGGGTGGTTTGGTTTGGTTTGTTTGCACCGTATTATGTTTTAGTATTGCACTGCGTTTATGTTTGTATTGTTAGTGTTAATAAATTATATTGTTTATAACATATCTGAGGTCTGCGTTTCCCTGCTTCAGTCACACACCTCTGGTCATACCTGGGAGCCCTGACATTACACCAAGGCCAATCCTGACCAGAAGTGGCTGCACAGGGAAGCCATCTTGGCTTGTTGATGGGAAGGATGGATCTTGAGGAGGTTGAGTATTTATATCTGCTAGTGTTTGATGACAGGGAGTATGCTTATCAAACTCTGAAGGAGTATACCCGGGATGAATTGCTAGAATGTATACGGCTCGCTCATGTTCTAGTAGATCAGGGCACAGTATTCTCTGAGGTGCAGCCATTGATTGAGGTTTGTGCAGAGTTGGTTTCATCTGGTTCCCCCGAATGCAGGGATGAATTTTTGCCACCATTTAGTGCAGACCAGGTAGAGTCCCTGGTGTGGTTATTAGAGGATGATGTGGGTTACTTTCTGGAGCGTTATTCCACATGTTCACCACAGACACTGAGAGATTGTATAAACGCAGTGCAGTCATTGACCAGACAGACTTTGTGTAAGCTCAGCTTTGTTCAACCCCTACTGCAGACATGGACAGATTTGTTGCACCCAGCCTCAGTCAGCTTACAAAGACCCAGTCCTGCTTCTAACTCTACTCCTGTATTCCCACCCAGCATCTCCTCCAGTTACAGCCCAGTATACTTGGCTATCTACCGCATGTCAGTACCCTGTTCCCACTCGCTGCACCCTATCCTGCCTTTAACCCTGTAAAAAAGCCCTCTGTAGCAACTGCTCCCTCTCCTGTTCCATCCTCCAGTTCTTCTCTGTCTCCAGCTGCTCCATTCGTTTGCAGACCTGCGTTTACTTGCAGTGCTCCAGTAGTTAAAACCAGAAAAAAGCGAAAATTCTTTCCAACCAATACCATCCTGCCAGTATCCAAACCGGTGAGCCTGCCTTCCGTGGTTCAGGACTGATGCCTGTACGCAGCCTGATGTCTCTACTCGGCCTGAAGCCTCTACGCGGCCTGAAGCCTCTACGCGGCCTGAAGCCTCTACGCGGCCTGAAGCCTCTACTCGGCCTGAAGCCTCTACTCGGCTGATGCCTCTACTCGGCCTGAAGCCTCTACTCGGCCTGAAGCCTCTACTCGGCCTGAAGCCTCTACGCGGCCTGAAGCCTCTCCTCGGCCTGATGCCTGTACTCGGCCTGATGCCTGTACTCGGCCTGATGCCTGTACTCGGCCTGAAGCCTCTACTCGGCCTAATGCCTCTACCCAGCATGATGAAACTGATCCAGCCTGACGATCCTATTAGGCCAGTTGACTCGATGCCCGCTGTTGATCCAGATGATCCGGTACCTGATCCGGTGCCCGCTGTCGTGCCAATTGACTCAGAGCCCGCTGTCGTACCTAGTTGACTCGGTGCCCACTGCCTTGCCAGATGACGCGGTGCCCGCTGGCAAGCCAAATGACCTGATGCCTGGTGACCTAGTGTCCGCTGTCATACCTGATGACCCGATGCCCGCTGTCGAGCCAGACAATCCGGTACCTGATGACCCGGTGCCCACTGTCGTGCCTGTTGACTCGGAGACCACTGCCTTTGCCAGATGACGCGGTGCCCGCTGTCGAGCCAAATGAACTGATGCCTGGTGACCCGATGCCCGCTGTCCAGCCAGACGATTCAATGTCTCCCCGGTGCCCGCGGTCATGCCAGTTGACTCGGAGCCCACTGCCTTGCCAGATGATGCGGTGCTCGCTGTCGAGCCAAATGACTTGATGCCTGGTGACCCGATGCCCGCTGTCCAGTCAGACGATCCAATGTCTAACCCAGTGCCCGCGGTCATACCAGTTGACTCGGAGCCCACTGCCTTGCCAGATGACGCGGTGCCCGCGGTCGAGCCAAATGACCTGATGCCTGGTGACCCGATGCCCGCTGTCCAGCCAGACGATTCAATGTCTGCCCCGGTGCCCGCGGTCATGCCAGTTGACTCGGAGCCCACTGCCTTGCCAGATGACGCGGTGCCCGCTGTCGAGCCAAATGACCTGATGCCTGGTGACCCGATGCCCGCTGTCCAGCCAGGGGCACCATCCAATGTCTGACCCAGTGCCTGCGGTCATACCAGTTGACTCGGAGCCCACTGTCGTGCCTGGTGTCTCGGTGCCCGCCGCTCCGCCTGGGGGCCCGAGACCTGTTGCTCCGCTTGGGGGTCCAGCGCCCGCCGCTCCGCCTGGGGATCCGGCGCCCGCCGCCCCGCCTGGGGGCACGAGACCTGTCGCTCCTCCGCCTGAGGGCCCGAGACCTGTCGCTCCGCCTGGGGTCCGGCGCCCGCCGCTCCGCCTGGGGGCACGGTGCCTGTCGCCCCGCCTGGGGGCACGGTGCCTGTCGCCCCGCCTGGGGGCACGGTGCCTGTCGCCCCGCCCGGGGGCACGGTGCCTGTCGCCCCGCCCGGGGGCCCGGTGCCTGCCGCTCCGCCCGGGGGGCCCGGTGCCTGCCGCTCCGCCCGGGGGCCCGGTGCCTGCCGCTCCGCCCGGGGGCCCGGTGCCTGCCGCTCCGCCCGGGGGCCCGGTGCCTGCCGATCCGCCTGGTAATCCGATGTGCCTCTGCCCGGAGTCCTGCCCGATGTGCCTCTGCCCGGAGTCCTGCCCGATGTGCCTCTGCCCGGAGTCCTGCCCGATGTGCCATCTGCCCGGAGTCCTGCCGATGTGCCTCTGCCCGGAGTCCTGCCCGATGTGCCTCTGCCCGGAGTCCTGCCCGATGTGCCTCTGCCCGGAGTCCTGCCCGATGTGCCTCTGCCCGGAGTCCTGCCCGATGTGCCTCTGCCCGGAGTCCTGCCCGATGTGCCTCTGCCCGGAGTCCTGCCCGATGTGCCTCTGCCCGGAGTCCTGCCCGATGTGCCTCTGCCCGGAGTCCTGCCCGATGTGCCTCTGCCCGGTGTGCCTCTGCCCGGAGTCCTGCCCGATGTGCCTCTGCCCGATGTGCCTCTGCCCGATGTGCCTCTGCCCGATGTGCCTCTGCCCGATGTGCCTCTGCCCGATGTGCCTCTGCCCGATGTGCCTCTGCCCGGAGTCCTGCCCGATGTGCCTCTGCCCGGAGTCCTGCCCGATGTTGCCTCTGCCCGGAGTCCTGCACCCGATGTGCCTCTGCCCGGTGTGTGCCTCTGCCCGATGTGCCTCTGCCCGGAGTCCTGCCCGATGTGCCTCTGCCCGGAGTCCTGCCCATGTGCCTCTGCCCGGTGTGCCTCTGCCCGATGTGCCTCTGCCCGGAGTCCAGCCCGGTGTGCCGCTGCCCGGTGTCCTGCCCGGTGTGCCAGTCTTTGATATCCCGCCAGTTGCCAGACCCGGGCGGTGGAACATTTTGCCCAGCTAGGACTGTTTGGAGCGTCCTGAGGCCGCTCCTTGAGGGGGGGGTACTGTTAGGAATGGACTGGCCAGCAATGGTGGGACTCACCTGCCTTTTGATCTGCAGTACCAGGGCTGGCCAGCGGGTGCTCCCAGCAATCAGAGACTCAACCTTTCAGCCAGCTAACACCTGGAACTGATGATACTGGTGTATTTAAGGGATGGCCAGACTTGCAGACTCTGCCTTGGTGTTGTGTTTGTCCTGGGCCCTGTATCTGTCCTGCATCCTGTTTCTGTTCCTTTGCTGACTTCTCCTGCTCTGATCCTGGCTTGTGACCCTGACCATCCCTCTGTCTGACCCTCTGTACTACGCTGCTTGCTACCTGTTCTGATCCCTGGCTTGTGACCCGGACCATCCCTCTGCCTGACCCTCTGTACTATGCTGCTTGCTACCTGCTGAACCTGGCCTGTGACCCCGACCATTCTCCGCTTGCTCCCCCTGTACCTACCTGCCCAATTGATATTGACCCGGCCTGCCTGACGACGCTTGCTTGTATATACTGTTATCTGTGGGTGGTTTGGTTTGGTTTGTTTGCACGTATTATGTTTTAGTATTGCACTGCGTTTATGTTTGTATTGTTATGTTATAAACAATATAATTTATTAACACTATCTGAGGTCTGCGTTTCCCTGCTTCAGTCACACACCTCTGGTCATACCTGGGAGCCCTGACACAGCCTCCGGTACAACTCCAGCTCAAGGACTGCTGATGGTGGGACAGAGGCTGCAGGGGCACGGTGGGGAATGAGTGACTGTGATCAGTCCAGTAGTAGCTGGTAGGCAGGTGAACTGCAGGGCAGGCTGAAGGCAGGGAGCTGGATCCAGATGCAGCTCTGAGGGGTGCGTTTTGAGGATGCAGGTTCAGATGAGTCGGGTTCAATAACGGTTGGACAGATCAGGCATAAATGGCAGTAGGAAGGGTAGTCGGGTCACAGGCCAGCAGCAGAAGATCAATCATACAGGAGCGGAGACAGAAGGGTAATCCAAGGCAAGCCAGAGGTCAGGGCAGGTAGCGGTCAAGCGGAGGTCAGAAATAAGCTGGTTCGGTATCAGGAGTCAATTACAGGAATCAGGGAACACAAGCAGGGGATAAGACCAAATGGCAATGAGACATTACTGCAGCCAGTTGAAATAGCCCTTTTGGTCACTGTATTGGGTGTCACTGGTCCGTTCCCCCCCCCAGTGTCAGAATGTCTGCCGCAGTCCCGCCATAAGTCGCTGATCGCAGCCATAAGTTACTGATTGCCTCCATAAGTCGCTGATCGCCGCTATTATTAGTATACAGAAAAAAAAATCCAGTATATATACCGCCATTTGTAAACGCTATAACTTTCACGTAAACCAATTAATTTACACGTATTGGGATTTTTTATAGCAAAGACATGGAGCAAAATACATTTTGGCTAAAATTTATGACGAAATTAGATTTTTAAATTTTTTTACTGGACATGTTTTATAGCAAAATGTCCAAAAATATTATTATTTTTTTTTCAAAACTGTCAGGTTTTTTTTTTATAGCGCAAAAAAATAAAAAACGCACAGGCGATCAAATACCACCAAAAAAGCCCAATTCATGGGGAAAAAAGGATGTAAATTTCATGTTTGCGCAGTGTTGCATGACCACGCAATTGTCAGTTAAAATGACGCAGTGCCATAACACAAACCACTTATGTAACCGCTTCCTGACCACCCTATAGCAGAAATACTGCTACAGGGCGGCACAGGTGTGCAAAACCATGTGTGTGTGTGTATGTATATATATATATATTATATATATATATATACGTGATTCGCGCTCCCGTGGTTTTCACGCCCCTCCCAGAAAGCATCAGATTCCCATCAGTACATCAGTCATCACATTTAACAATTGCCAGGAAGAGGTCTCATACACAATAAACCTCCATTGCTAGTATAGTGTATGAACGGATCAATGTTTGATCAGATCAGCACTATACCAGTGTTCACATTAGTATAGCTTCCCCAAAAATGCAGCATTAGCAGGATCAGCCCCGGCACCTTCCAGCACCTGCGTTTAGTCCCTACGTTTACCCCCCTTCTCCCCCAGCAAGTGCAGTGTCAGTAGGTCACTGTCACTTGATACGTTGCACATAAAACTGCAGTGTTCGCAGAATCAGGCCTGATCTCTGTTAGCACTTGCCGGTAAATTTTGATGACTCTCATATGCAGCAGAGTGCCAGTACTAGTGTCGCGCTACCTTTGGTGAACTATCGAGTACTAGTGGCCTTCCTGGTCTTTCACATACCTCTTAGATTGCAAGCTTCAAGGGGCAGGACCCTCCCAACTCCTCTTGATTTTTTGGAGCTGTTTTTCACGGAAGATCTATATGCATTGATTGTGGATCAAAGCAATTTATATGCACAACAGTTTATCGCCACCAACCCAGAGTCAAACCTTGCCAGACCATTCGCATTGGAAACTCATTACGGTTTCCGAATTTCAATTTTTTTTTAACCTAACCCTCAACATGGGCATTACTAAAAAAAAATGAGTTGCGGTTGTATTGGTCCACAGACCCAATTCATCATATGCCCGTGTTCTCCACTGCCAGTGAGAGTATAATGTGTTTTATGCATTTCAACAACAATACACTCTGTCGTCCTTTGGGGTGACCCTGAATTTGACCGGCTGCACAAAATTCAGCCCCTCACAAAACCACCTTAACCAAAAATTTGCAGATGTCTATACTCCCCAGCAAAACATCTGCGCTGATGAGTCCCTCATTAATTTTTTCTGGCCACCTTAAATTCAAACAATTTCTCCCCTGCAAGCATGCCAGATATGGGGTTAAGATGTAGAAGACCTGTGAGAGGGCAACAGGCTATACTTATAAGTTTCGGATTTACGAAGGAAAAGATAGGCACGTGGAGCCCCCTAGATGCCAAGACTACATGGGGAGTAGTGGCAAGATGTTTGGAACTTGGTGTCATCCTTTTTCCATATGGGGTACCACTTATACGTGGACAATTTTTATTCAAGTGTGCCACTATTTAGACATTTGTACAATCTTGGAACTGGCGCATGTGGCACCGTGTGCCCACCATTAGCGGTGAGTGGATGCAGGGCGGTATATTCTAATGGTGGGCATACCACACACACTTTTTCTTTTTTCTTTCTTTTCTTTTTTTTTTTCTTTTTTTTTTGGTATGCAGCCTGTGGACTGAGTGAAAAAAAAAGTAGAACATAGCATATACAGTAATACCTCAGTTTACGAATGCCTCTGTTAACGTCATTTTTTGTTTACGAATGAAAATCCATTGAAAATAACGCCTCAGTTTACAAATTTTTTTCACAATATGAAGTGTATGTCCGTGCTGATTTTTAAATGCAATTGCCGTCTTTTTTTTTTCTTCACTATAGCTCACAACATTAGCTGTCAGTTTCCTGGAAGCTAAAGGATACTTTGTATCTTTTAAGAAACTGAAAGGAAAACATTGTTTCTTTTGGGGAAATAAACTAAACTAAACTTTCTCTCTTTTAGCTGGAGGGGGAAGTGACAGGTGAATTTCTGAACTGCTGTATAGAGAAAGAAAAAAAAAAACAGTAATTACATTTAAAAACTGGCTCCTAACAGCTGAGTGGAAAATAATTTTTTTAATTGCCAGAAATTCTTTTACATTCAGCTGTCAGTGGGGAACCCCGCTGACAGCTGAAACATTAACACATGGCTGTCATTACTAAAATACCACATGAGTTAATAAAACAACTCATGCGGTATTGTAGTAGCGTTTACTGTTTTTCTGACCTTTGGAACGGATTAATTGGTTTTCAATGCATTCCTATGGGAAACAGTGTTTCAGTTTACGAATTCTTTGCTATACGAAATATCCTGCAGAATGAATTAAATTCGTAATTCGAGGTATTACTGTATACCCAACAAGGACCAGCGACGTACTGGTACATCACTGGAATTTGAATGGTTATACCAGGATGATGCCTACAGCTACAGTCATCATCCTGGTATCGTTTTTTTCAGCCGGCAATTGGTTTTCATGTAAAAGCAATCCTAGTGGCTAATTAGCTGCAGGATTGCTTTTACAAGTAGCGGGAGATGATGCCCCCCTCCCCCACTGCCTTCCACGGCCTTCTCGGGCAGTCCCATGCTATCGGGGCAACCTGAAAATGCAGCCGGTGTTTCTGCCAGCTGACCATAGAGCTGATTGGAGACCAGAATGATGCCAAACATCTCTATAGTCTAAGAAATGAGCATTTCATCAATTCAGTTTCACAGGATATAAACAGCGCCATTTGTAAATTGGGAAAGCATCTGATCACACCAAACTTAGTTTGATTAGATAACGTAAGGGCAGAGGAGATATCTAGAGTCTGATAGAACCCAGATTTGTCAAAAAAGAATATATGACAATGCCCATTGAAGTTATAGGGGATATTTGCATTTCCTGTGATAGCATTGAAAGTGAT